ACATCAGCTCCAAATGTTCATGGAAGGGTTGTCCCACATAAAAAATATACACGTAAAGTTGTAATGGTGACACCAGTAGTTGGGGTATTAACAACCTCTCAATGGCAGAATGGGGAGGCAATAATGCAGGAACTTGTCCGTTTGTATATCTGTTTGGAGGAGGGTTAATGTGTTTCTAGTACTGCCTAAGAAAATGTTTGATGGTCATTTTACTTTGTGTAATATTATTGTCGAGTAGGCATTTTTGAGGAACTGGATGTACTGGACACAATATAAATACCTTTTGTTTTCAAGAAATTTGTCGGATTTTCTCACCTAATATACATACGTATACGAGTACATATTAAGGAACAAAATTTGTGTAGTAAGCAAAGTTTATTTGGGAGAAATATCACACCAACGCAAAGTTTTATCACTTTTAAAGTATTTCTTATATAGTATCTAAATTCTGTGAAATTAAAGAAATTCTAAAAAATCGGATATCAAGTATCAATGAAATCATTTCAATAACATATCGGTCATTCAAAAGGTTCTAACCGACATACTAAAAACAAATCCAACCGATGATTTTATAAATGAAAACTTTAATAAGTTTTCCAACTCAGCGTTGACTCAAAAGATCTATTTTAACTGAGCAAAACACAAAAATTCAAATTAAAAACGTTCTGCACTGGTACAAAAATTTACCAGTCTCTTTTTTGAGACTGGTCTTATCGGATCTGGAACCGACTACCTTTAACATAATTATATAGTAATGTTCACAAAACATATACATTATATTTATCATGACAATAGTATCGTACATTATTTTGTTACTTTAAAGTATCGCTAATAACCTTTATCTGATAATAAGCCCGTTGAATAAATTTATAGTTGATGCTAGTTAGGATTACATTAATATTTCATAGAACTGCACAAAAGATCTTTCAGGTCGGAGTGCATAACCTATTCGTAATAAATAAATGATTAACATACGGAATGGTAAAGAGGATGCCAATATTACTAATATACATTGTGACCGAAAAGTTTCCGGAAAAAATTAAATAAAACGCAAAATTCTTAATCTTCATCAATATTTATTTTATCTCCTTCAAAATATGCTCCATTAGAAGCGATACACAAATGCCAACGTTTCTTCCAATCATCAAAACATTTTTTATAGGCGCTTTCCGGTATGGCTTTGAGTTCCCTCTGCGAATTCTGTTTTACGTCTTCTATGGATTCAAAACGCGTTCCTCTGAGTGGTAATTTGAGGTTGGGAAACAGGAAAAAGTCACACGGTGCAAGATCAGGTGAATACGGTGGCTGTTCGATGGTATTTATTGAATGTTTGGCCTTAAAATCGTTGATAATGTTGAACAAATTGAGGTGAATCGGAACAAGCCGGGCGTTGACACGTCGCATACACAAATTGTCCACCAAAATCAAACGAGCCATCTCACGACCGATGCCTAGCTCTCGTGCTATCTCTCTAACACTCACATGAGGATTTTTGAACACGATTTCCTTTGCCTTTTCAATGTTTTCGTCGGTGGTAGAGGTCGAAGGTCGTCCAGAACGCGGCATGTCTTCGACGGTCGTACGACAGTCCTGAAAGGCTTTGTACCACTCATAAACTTGAGTTTTCGATAAAACTGATTCCCCATAAGCCTTTTGTAGCATTCGCAACGATTCTGCACACGAAATTTCGTTCGAAAAACAAAATTTGATGCAAACTCTTTGTTCAATATTTTTTTCCATTGTTTTTTTCGCAACGCACTACTGAGGTGAACTGGTTTCAACAGCTGCCGTAAACGAACTGTCCGACAGATCGCGCTCATTTTTGGCATAGTAATTAAGGACAGTGCTGCCAAACTACATAAACTTAAAATATCGAAAAATATACAGCGCGCGAATTTTAAATGAGAATTTCCGAAAGCTTTTCGGTCACAATGTACTTTTATTTGTTCATAATCACTAATCGTACTATCCACCATACTTTTTTTAAGCTACTTTCTCAAAGGAGATCAGTAAAATTTGAGATTATCATATAACAATTTTTTTCTCTACTTCTGCTTATAATCTATCAGTAAAGTACTCGATAGATTAAAGTAGGTTACAAATGGCTAGTATTAATCGAAGCGATCAAATTCATTATGAAAATAAATTTATTTCATATACAAATCCGTAAATATAATTGTAGTGCTCCTTTGTGGGTACTAAATATATTGCATTAATAGGTGTTAGTACAAATCTTAATATTTAGATTATTTTGGGATACAGTATCATTATTCCGGTATCATTATTGAAACTTATACAGTTTAAGTTTAATTAAACGAGAACGATGTCCACAAACAGATCAAGGTAGAATCCACTATTGATGTCAATTATAAAGTGAAAGAAATTTAAGAGAAGTAGAATATTTTGATGATATAACACCTTAAATATTCCACAAAAATAATGTAGATCATTACGACTTTCATACACGAGGCTACAAAAAATAATATAAACTATTATTATTGTTATTATATTCATATATATAAATATGAAATCGTAATATTGCGTAACCTGTAAAACGAAGCAGTTAATATATCGACGAAAAGTATCAACATGTATAAGTTCTTTCTAGTAATAATTTTGTAAAAGTCATAGGTGAACTATCGATTTATAGACTTCCGATTTAGCAAACGGACTATATAACCTAGGAATCATTCATTAGATTAGACGTTTGCTCGTTATATAATTATGAGATTATAGCATAATGACAAATGTAAATCAACGTTTTTATATTAGAAAATGTAATTTATTGTATTTTATTTTGTTTAATTGCTTTACATAAATAAATAATAATTAAATTTATTTATTTATATTTAATTTACTTAATTCAGTAACACACTGAATGATCACAATATATATCACAATATATATAATTGGTGGAGTCCAATTATATATATTTATCGAGTGACTGGTTCCTTTTTAAATAACAAATAGTATAATTAAAAAAATAGATATAACAAAAAATAGAGATTCTAAACGTTAAAATTTACGAAACCATAGCACTAGTCAACCGTAGTCAGTTACACTCTGATATTTTCAAGTATTAGCACTCGGAATTACTATATAGTTTATGTATTCGAATATTTTTCAATAAAATTGCTTTTTTTTATCAAATTTATTTAAGACTTTAATTGTATTTATAATATACTCAATCCTTCATATTGAAAAAAAGCAGCACAAAATAATCATTACTTTAGGTGGCAACACTGAAGCTGTAGTCAAATATATACAGAGAATGGAATACAATAACAATTTATTTTCATGATATATTATCAGAAATATCTTTATATATAAACTTAAATTGAAATTTAAAAAAACAAAGCTTAACATATAAGTACTAAGAAACTATTAACCGAATATAACTATATTAACTATTAACCGAAAATTATTTACAATAGACGATTTTAAAGAAGTTGAATCAAATAATCTATCGGTTTAATAAGAAGTCCATAAATGATGACTGCTAATATATTAATAATAAACAATTTATTATTTTAAATTATTAACAATAAATTATCTTATGTTAGTTTTATGAAAAAAAGAAATTAATCCATAGTTAAAAATACATATTTAATCTTTAAATAAACTATAAACAAACATAAACTATAAGACATAGACCCTGAATGTACTAGCATACATTAGAATTGGCAAGGCAATTACTCATAAAGTAGAAAAAGGCTAGAAATCCACTACTTGGCCCCACACAGTTCCTTGCAAAAATTACATATTGATATTGGCAACGCAGAAATGGAAGATATTTAACTCTAATTTTAGTTCAGACTTAAGGGATTTTCAAATTATCATTCAATGTCACAATACTGAAATTAGAAATTGATATAATATCAGGAATTTAAAATGAATTCAGTGTGGCTTTATAGTAGAACACTGCAAATATTTATATAATATAACTTAGATTTGTATTCGAATGAATTCCGGCGATTTTATGAACTAACATATAAGGACCAGTAGAGCTACTTACTGAGAGCAACATCTTAGATGAGAATAGAGTTAAACAATTTAGTTCAAAATTACTAAAGCGATGAAGAATTTAACACTAGGAACTGGTCATAAAGTATATTAACAGAAAAAGATACAGCACTATTAACACAGAGAGTGTGAATTCTAAAAAGAATGCAGTGCACTGCAAACATACTATAACATTATATAATATATACAATATATAACATATATAAGACTAAGTACATATATTTTTAAAATATAATTCATGTAGAAAATTAAACAACACTGGACCTGCGATTTTTTAAAAATATCATTAACTCGAAAACATGAAAACAATCTTCCAAGTAAAGAAGAGGAATTATAAAAAATATAAGGAAGTTTTTTTGTAACTGCAATAGTTTTTTGCCATCTCCAATCAAAAAATTCAAAGTATATTCTTCTCTGATACCTATATTTTTCAGCTATTTTTCAGGGCATTTTCTATTATCAAAAATGATTATCAAATGAGAAATAGAAAAGCTTTCGCAAGGTCTCTGAAAGTATAGGTATATCTTATCTATAATACCTATTGTACATTAAAAGTAATTTTAAACTTTTCTGGAATCTTTTGAGTTCTTTAAACTCTAGTTTACGATCTACTTGTGTTTGCATTTTCTCCTATCTCATTCAGACGGACATTATATTTTAGTCGAAATGTTATTAACCAACTGTTTCGATATATCACTTTATATATTAATATATCTCCAATCTACAATATTATATCGTCATGAAAGTATCAGAGAGATCAAATTGTATTTAGAAGTAGATTTTAGTGGCATTTTCAAACTATGTCTTTACAAACTTTTTATTATCTAAACCATAAATATTATTTCTAACGTCAATTGTATTCAAATAAATTGATTTACACACAAAATGACTAAGGAACATATACGCTATATTCTTGACTCCATTTATACATTTACACAGCACTTTTTAGCTCAATGTACGCAAATATTAAAATGTCACAGGAAATCACAAGCGAATTCTATGGCAACGTGGGGTTTAATGAAGCCCCAAAAAGAGTGCTTAACGCGTTAAACTGGAGGTTGACTCGTATAAAGCAGCTAAAGTAACTATATACAACCTAGATAGCTATAATCCAAATCAAACAAAAACTCACGTCCGCAAAAAATTTAAAACCCAGCAACATAAAAAATTAAACTATATAAGCAGTAAAAGATATTTATACAGCAACCTATCTAGTTAGTGTATGTAATATAGGAAACTGAATTCATAGTCAAAGTTTCGTGTTTGTCAAATTTTGACGTGTTCTTCGATATCTGCTGTCATTATTTTCTGAGTTGCTTCTAGTGTGAAGACGTCTTTAAAAGTTTCCATATTTTCATCGACTTATTGAGAATAAAAAGTGAGTACAAAATATTTATGGGTCTATTGAAATTTTAAAAGATCACATCTTTTTTTAATTACAATCGAAATAGTCATGAATGGTCAAAATAAAATGGATGGTTCTTCATCAAAGGGAATTAAACGTACCGCACGTATGCTTTCGCCTTGTGAAAAACTAAATGCCGTGTCTCGTATACGTAATGGTGAGACGAAAGCATCCATATCTCGTGAAATTGGTGTACCGGAGTCAACGTTGCGGGGTTGGTGTAAAAACGAGCAAAAACTGCGAGAAACCTGCAGTCAAATGACTTCCAATAACGTCACCGTATCTGGTATGGAAAATTATCAAGTAAAACGTCAAAAGTTGCAATCTCAAACACCTACATTATCATATCCAAACCCTATGTTGGATGGTATAAATACTAACCTTGTTAACAATCCATTTAGTTTAAATGGGATCTATTCCACTCCTAATAACAACGGTTTTGGGACTGACTTTGGGAATGATTCATTCAAAAACTTTCTAAACATGTCCAGTGTACCAAATGGTTCTGCAGCGTCTAGTTCTGATGCAGGTATGCAACGTTCTATAAACGATATGGTTAATGTGGGTCAACCAAGTGAAGTTCAGACTTCTAATCTACCATATGATCTAACATCAATTTTCAATCCGACGCCAGAATCGGAAGGTGAAAATAAAGCTTTCTTAGTAGAGTGGTGGAAAGTTTTTTACACCAATTTGTCTCTATTGGGTAGTACAATCTATACCACCCCATCGAAAGATGAACAAGAAGACATGCAAGCAAACGTAATGGGTAAGGAACAGACTTCAAATAATGGTCAAGATTTTCAGCAAGAAAACTATCCTACCCCACCGAAAAGTCTTGAATGAATTCTTCAAAACTTGATTAACCAATTTTCTAATTCAAACTTAAATAAATAAATTACTCAATCAAAGCATAAGGTAATTCATAAATATATGTCAAAGATAAACTTTTGATTTGCAAATTTTTTAGTGGCAAAATATTGAAAAAAATTTAATTGTGAAGGCGAAGTTCATACAGCGGAGCCTTGAAGTTTTAACTAATTACCAAAGCTGCCACCCTAATTAACAAATTCATTGAAAAACCATCATTTGATTATTATATGAAAACCATTATAATTATTTAACATATAAAAATATTGAATTACCTTATTTACCTCAAATTAACTTACCTTATGAATAAACACAACTAAATTACTATAAAATTATAATTTTTTGTTAGAATAGCCATATTTTGTAGGTACTATATATATTTTAAACACCAATGTACTTAAGTGAAATTGGGGTACGAATCTAAATTTTAAAAATATAGAATTTTTATTTAGGTTCAAAATTTTATAACTTGTTTTATAAACATCTATGTATATATATATTCTATATATTCTCAGAATTGTTTGTAATAATTTTAATCGAGATGCTCCTTTAATGCAATTTATTTTCGATTGGTAAATCTGGGGCAAAATGTATAACACTCGAGATTAATTTGTGACACTCTAGATATTTTGCCAGAGTAGCAAAATTACCCTGAAATTAACAACTGTTTTATATGATTTGACAAATAAAATGTGATTTGTTTCAATATATGTATTAATGAAAAATATGACTGTCTACTAATACTACTACAAAAATATTAGATTACCCTAAAAATGTTTAATTGGGCAACAAAATTTGACAGATCGAGAGTAAATCTAGATTGAATCCAGATTTACCAATCGAAAACGCCATATATAATTCTTCTAGAAAATGTAGATATGCTGACTTACAATTTGCCACCAAAAATGAACATTAGCAAAAAACCTCATTATTATATTTCCTTATAATAATTATCAACAATTCTAACAAAATTACACGCGTTTCCTTAAACTCCGGAAAATGTAGGAATTCAATTATTAAGAGTATACAAAGTTGGTTGTGTTGCTTTTTTGGCATTTTTTCTCCAAAATATATGTATTAAAATTGTAATAATTTACTACTAAAAGGCTCAAATTCTAATATTTATTACTGCACAACACTGTTTTGACCAACGTGACGAGGCACAAAATGCCTAACTGCGGTACCGGATGGTTTTTTTGAGAGTTGCCACCTTGATATTGTAGAGGCTATTTCAAATTACCTATTTTCTCTATTGATATAATAATAATATAACACAAGTGATTGATTCAGATCCACCTACTTTTAATAGTAACTATGAGTCTAATCATGGCAACAGCAACAATTATAAAATGTAGTCTATTATTCTCCTTTTCTTTTGGTTTTTAATCTGGAGCCGCAATCATTTTTTCATTTAGGGTCTTTAGCAACCAAGGCTTAAAGTTTTTATTTTAAAAGGTTAATTATATTTATATTATTTTAAGAGATACAATTTTTTTTTGAATAGTTTTTTTTTGTAAACTTAATATGAAAAAATAAATAAACTTTTTGCAGTAGACGTCTTTCTTTGAATTCTTTTTCTATTTTATCAGAATTTTGTATCCTAAAATCAGTCTACAGAACTTAAATTATTTTAGGAAATACGTACTTGAAAAAAATTTTAGCGGGAAATAAAAAAAACCCCACGCAATAATTAAGGCAACATTATACAAAAATAATACCATATTATACAAAAAAATTGGAACGGGAACGGTGAGAGTAGTTTTTTAGATGATGATGTATTAGAATTAGAAATTAGATTATAGACATAAGAAGCCGATAAGATCATTTTTTTTTTTCATAAAGAGCTGTTGAAATGAGTTATATATATTTACAACAATGATATAATTTTTTTTCATTCACCACTACTTTCCAAGATCTTGGCAGGACATTTCTCATCAATTAGAATCTTATTTATCCATATCTTTGTTTTATGTTGGCGTATATCTGAAATTTAACCCTGAATTGACGCAACTAATAGGTAAGGAAGTTAGGTAATTCGATAAAGCACTAACCTTTGATAATACATTAAATGTAGATAAAGTGATATATAAAACTAAGCAAAATATTTTGCAAACGGATTTTGCTATGTAAAAATCATATAGTTTTCCGATATATATAATATATTCATGAATTATTTAATACTTCTAATTTTCTAACGATTTTTTTAAATCTTTATATTTTATATTGATATTAATTTTTCGTATGATATAATTTGAGCCTTAGCTTACTGATTCATGGTATCCATTCATTCCTATCTAGTGCAATCATGTGACTACTACAAAAAGTGCAAAGGTACGCCTATTCTGTTATGCTAGATTAAGGGTCTCAAAAGATTTGAATACCCTTACAGATGCGTTGCGAAAGTCTGCACATTTAATCTATTAAATGGGTTTTCGTAGGTTTTGTTTGTAATATATAAATAATTACAGTTTTTAGATGAGTGGAAATCACAAATAGGGGCTAATCTAATAGCCCTGTCAATAACCCTAGACTATATTCAACTTAGACGCATACACAGCAATTTCTCCAGAGTTTCGAATACAAAAATAGTATCTAATCAAATTTGAGTATGTTGAAATAACGTGTTTTCTCTGAAAAGATTTCTCCAGGATAGTTGTAATGAATAATAGTATAATTCAATAATAAATTATTGATTTAGACGATCTTCATTTTCATTTTTTCTACCAATTGTTACCTGTCCAATAACTTCTTCTGCACTAGAAGTGGCTCATAAATGTAAGGATACTCTTCATATAAACTGTATTCGTCACAATGTGCTGGTTTTTGTATTAGTCTCCATTAATTTGATTGATACATTGATCGAAATAAGGACTACATCGCATGCTATCCTCGAGCGTGTGTTAAGTGTGCATAATAGGTATACATTTAATTGACCTAAGTTTAACTGACTAATAATACTATACAATATTAATATTAAGTTTATATTATTATTTTAAATACATTAGGACATTTTTATATACCGTAAATGTCTTGATCATCATAGCCAATCCAATCCATCCAGCGATATTCGAAGACCTATCTGTTTATCACGTTGTACGCCTTGCTGTTTCTATAAATTTATGTTACAGATTCGAATTTAATCGCATGAGAAAGGTGTGTGAAAAGTTTAGAGTCCACATATGTTCAAAGTTCTTATTAAAAATGTATTATTGGGATTCAATATCTAAATACATGGATATGTAATAGACTAGAATACAACAGCAAAACGCGAAGCGTGTTGCCTTTAATTTATTACATTTTTCTTCAACCCTTTTCTGGTACTAAGTATTGGCTTCAGTGTTTTAATAAAAACAATAGAAATTTTGAAAATATTTTTATTGTATGAAAATTAAGTATTTAAATCAGGATTTTGAAATTCAAACGAAGTCTATTATATATTGTACAATGGACATCAAATGGACTACTTTCAAAAGAATCAGTCAAAGTAAAAGCGTTTAACGTAACATATAAATTAGTCAAGCTTTTTGAAAAAGGTCAAAGGCTTTTTATACAATACAAATGCATAATATAATATATAATTGAAAAAAATTTCAAAGGGAATTCTTTGTAGTTTCAGAGTTTAAAGGCATGGAACTCAATATGATATATTATATTTCCAAATCAAAGTTATGCACGTCCTTCAAGATATTATTCTTCAAAACAGGGAATAAAGGTAAATGGATCTTGTGTTATGATTAGTGAATTTTAAGGATCTGAACGCTATTTAGATTCTGTTAAATATTTATGTATTAGAGTTTTATATATTTGGTGAGCAACAATTTTAAAATAAAAATATTACTAATAATAATATTATTTCTTATTATTTTCTTGTTTATAGTTTACTATTTAGAAGAAAATTTAAAAATAGATTATTGCTCCCGTACAAACAGCCCCATTTATTTTCATAATCAGTTATAATAATTCTGCTCCCCGAAGGCAAGTCTGTAAGAACATGTCTAATACTGTTAAACTAGTGAACCCATAACTACTTCACTCCGATTTTAACTTGAACATTTAAACCATTAATATTTTCTTTGTTATAAGTTTCCAGATCTCTTCGGTTCGATAATAAAACCAGAACAAAGATACATCTTTCATTTCCGGATAACAGCAGTATAGAAACAAATTAGTTCAATGTATTTCGACTTCTGTAAAATATTCACAATATAAAATCTGCTCACTGTTATATTAGCTCGTTACATAGGTCCCACTAAGAATACCATACAATTCTTATATCCCATTGTTATTCTCTTATAAGAAATAGAAACGATAATAATTTAATTTTTGGAAAACAATTAAATAATTTATTAATTTATTAAAAACATATTCAATTTTTACAAGTTAAGTTAAAATTTAATATAAGATGATATGTAGATAATTGAAACTACTTATTCATAGAGATAAAAAGACCCTAATGTACATTGTACAGTGACATAGTTTATTTAAAATATTCTATCAAATTATTCTAAAGACTTTATTCAGGAATTTTTCATATTTAAATACTAAAAGTTAAGACTAAGTTGTTTTTATCTACAAGCGATCAGATTCGAATACGTTTAATCCTTTATGGTTCAGAGTCACTCTGCACTGCAGAAGAGATGCTCTTAGCTGGACTTTGTGAACGGCTATGAGCTGGGCTAGATATTTTCGATGTATTGGAACGAAATGACAAATCCTCTGGTTCGCTGTCATAGTAACTATCGTTGGACATGTCGCTATGCATCAAGCTGTTTGAATTCATATGAAAGCTATGAGGCATTTTAGTTAGTTGACTATACAAAATATTCTCGGTAGGACGTGCCTGTATAGTATTGCTTTCATTTTCGTCATTTGTGTTAGATAAATTTATAGTAGGAGACTGAAGAGCTGCAGCAGCAGCAGTTAGTGCCAAAAAATTTAAACTCGCATTAAAAACTTTGCACCATTCCAATAGAGCTGAATTGGCGCTATCTGGGTCTGCGTTGGGATTCAATATCGATGGCATGCCAGTTTGTAGGAATGGA